GACAGGCAGGAATGGAGCTCCTGCAGAAGGTACCTGGGGACAGGGACAGGCAGGAGATTGCAGGTGGGAGCAGGAGCTGCAGGACAGAGGAACGTGAAGGGACTCCAGCCAGATGCTCTCCTCTGTGCCCTGGGGGTTCCAGGCCCTGGAACAGGAGGGTCTCTGTGCTCCAGGGCTGATAAATGCTCCTGTAGCCTGCCCCACTGTGTCTGGGCTTCTCTGTTCCCCATGGGGACAGGAGTGCCACAGTCCCCTGGGTTTCCTTTGCATTTCCATTGCTCCCCTCCGTGTTTGGCTGGGTAACACTTGTGCATTCCTTAAATGCCACCAAGGAGCCCAATCCTCATTTCCTGACACTCAGAACCCGAGGTCTGTGCCATTTCCAGCGTGCTGTGGATGCTCTCACTGACACACCCATGGTTGGTGGGGTTTCTTTGGCCTCCTCTCCCAGACATGCAGTTCTTGCTACTTTTCCCCAGTAAATTAGGAAGAAGAAAGTCTTGTCAAGGTTCTGACCCATCACAGTTACCTTCCTTTTCAGGAACATGTGCCCTGCGCAGAAACTGAACTGTTCCTTAAACACCTCACTTCAAGGGCATTCTCCAATTCACAAATCACTTCAAGACTTTTTTTTTTTTTTTTTCCCCACACTGCAATTTCTCAGTATTCATTATAATACAAAAACCATGATGTTGAGATTCAGTCTTGCCAAAGTCACTTAAAGCAGCAATTGTCTCAGTGCTAATGTTGATTCTCCCAATTGCTGGACTAGATTAAAACACAAATAATGCTGCTAATGATAATTTGGTAGAGAATTGGCAAGGAGGGCCCTTCTCAGCAGAATAAAAGATGTATCTAATATAGTGCTTGAAATAGAATGCTGTAGTTGACCAAATGAAATCTTCCAGTTAATTTTCTTTTAGTCTTTCTCAATAAGTGCACTTAGGCACACTGCAAAATGCCATTTCCAGCTATATTCAGCTGTTATTATTAGAACTGCCTCATACATTTGGACTTAAATTCCCTGGCAAAGGAAAGAAATCAAAGGAAGATAGAGCATTTCTTGGTGATTTTTGTTACATTCTCCTCATAAATCCTGCTTTGGGCTGGCAGCACAAATCTGAGTTCTGTGACAGGGACCAGGCACAGCCCAGGTTGGGCTGGATCTGTGTTCCACACAGTGCAACAAGCTCAAGACAAATATTTTAAATAAATCTGTTATCTAAGGAGCTAAAACACATCAGTGCCAGCTTGAACAGGGGCTGCTGGCTCACATTTCACCCAGGGCTGGCCTCCCAATGGACCCAGTGTGTTAAATTCTTCCTTCCCTTTTGGTTTTGGTTGTTTTGGTTTGGTTAGGTGTTTTGGGTTTTTTTTATTGGAGTTGTCTTTACTGTAAGAAGTGTTTCCAGAGGGCATTGGGAAGCTGGGCAGTGACAGGATGGCATTTCTCAGCACACCTGGTATTTTGTAAGGGCCGATGAGCCACCCACCTGCACCTCAGAGCACAGCCAGCCCTGCTACAGCCTCTGCTGCACATCCTGAATGGAAACAAAAGCTCATTCTGTTTTTAATACCTGCTCAGACTGATCAGATTTCTCAGCCCAGAGGGAAGAACACAATATTGTTTGTGTTGATGGGGACTCTGCCTTTTTCTAGAAGCAAACTTTAATAAAGACAGCCTGATGTTGAGGAGTGATAGCCATTGATGGATTCTGTGTCCTCATGTACCAGAGCTCTGGGCAGGTTTTATTAAATGTGACCTGAGGGATGCTCCAGGCTCGCTGGCACTGTGTCCCCTGTCACCAGAGTCACTGCTGGCACTGCTGGCACCGTGTCCTTGTCACCAGAGTCACTGCTGGGTGCACAGGGCAGGGCAGGGGCCTGTGGGGCTGGGCTGTGGTTTGGGACTGTGGGTTTGGGTTTGAGGGTTTGGCTTTGTGGTTTTGGTCTGTAGTTTTGGTCTGTGGATTTGGATTTGTGGAGTTGGAGTTGTGGGTTTGGGTTTATGGTTTTGGTCTGTAGTTTTGGTCTCTGGATTTGGGTTTGAGGGTTTGGAGTTGTGGGTTTGGGTTTGTGAGTTTGGGTCTGTGGGTTTGGAGTTGTGGGTTTGGGGTTGTGGGTTTTGGCCTGTAGTTTCAGTCTGTGGGTTT